GCCTTGGCTTCCAAAGGACTGGGCCCTCCCTCCCAGGAAGCCAGTGCAGGGCTGGGGGACATTTATGTCAGACGGAGACTCAGGAGGTTCGTCACAGGCTTGATCCTTTTAGTGAAACACTTGGGCAGGTTTGGAAGCTCCCAAAAGGAAGATGGCAGCATGGGACCCAGCCTCGCCCAGACCTGCCCCAAGTTCCTCCAACTTCCTCTGGAGTCTCCTGTGAGCCCCCACCACTGCCCACGAGTCCCCGTCCAGGAGAGACAGAGGGCCAGATGCAGAGCAGGAGCGTCAGGCTGGGTCAGGTCCTTTGTCCAGGCCACACCGCTTACCTGCGGGCCAGGCACGGTGGTCCCATCTGCAAGGACACACGTGTCCTGCACCTGGAAGCCTGCACCTCTTCCCAAGGGAGCTCCATTTTATGGGACCACCCAATGGGACCACCGTGCAGGACACGAGTCCACCCTCAGCAGGGGCTTCATTTCCATCTCATAGTTGCTACTACTTTCTAATGGGTGAGACGGACAGTTCTGTGAGGCTGTCCACCCCTCGGCCCTTCCTGTAAAGCCGAGGTTCTCTGAGTTATGGCACTGCAGGGCACTCCAGGAGTTCGTTAGAATGAGGCTCTGACCCACCCAGGCCTGTGGGATCAGTGGCTCCGGATGGGGCTGTAATCCAGGTTGATCAGGCCCCGGGGGGCCACCGGGGCTGCTCAGGAGTGAGGACCGTGTCTCAGGTGTGAAACTCACCTAGAAGCACCACTCCCAAGGCGGATGGATTGGAGGGAAGGACAGACAGCCCTGGGCAGGACCTGTCAGGGGCTGGGGAGAGCTCCTGCACCCAGAGGTACCTCCTGGGACCCTTTGTCAGGTGGCTTCCGCCTAGAAGCAACATGCCTTGGTCCCTTGGCCCAGTGGCAGCAGAAAGGGCCACTGGAACGCACTTCAGACCTACAGCCCAGGTTGATGCCTGTGTGGTCCCACATGATCCCCCCTGGACCAGTGTCAGCCTACAGGGCCTCCTGCACGTGCTGATGGGTGCCGCGTGCCATGTCCCACTTGTCCCAGAGGAACACTGGGGGCCTGCCTCATGGGCATGCAGAGCCCGACTGAGTAACCAGCCTCTGTGTGCTGCCCGCCATCCAGACTGGCCCCTGGGACTTGGTGCCGCTGCAGGGCAGGGTCGGTGTCTGCCCGTCCCCAAGGAGTCCCGTTCCTCATCTGATGTTGTTCCCTTGGGAGAGAAGCTGCCTATCAGAAGACAGCCTGCTGGCCCTCGAGGCCATTTCTACTTCCCCTTGAAACCTGTGAGCATGTCTTCTTGCTGGTGGGCTGGTTCCTATTCTGCCTTCCCTGCCCAAACCCCTCTCGACCCCCGTGGAGAGCAGCCCCCAGGGCCTAAGTGCCAGCTGCCACAACTCCGCTTCCCTCATTCTGGCAGCTGGGAATGTGTGTGCATGTGCATCTGCACGTATGTGGTGTGTGCGCACCTGATGTGTGCGCCCATGTGCACCTGTGTGCGGATGTGGTTATTTTAGGACCCGGATGATGGGCAGGGTGGAGACGCAGGAAGGGTTCCGTAGTTTCCCACTTAACTCTGCTGGCGAGTCTGGGAGCTTTAAAATGGAGCTCCCTTGGGAAGAGGTGCAGGCTTCCAGCTGGGCTCTGGTACTTATTCTGCCAGACCAATGCTTGGTCCTGAGGGGCGGCTGGGGACCCCAGGACAGGGGAGCGGAGGGATGTTCCAGCAGAGGCCTCTCCAGGGGGCAGGCCCTGCGCCCATCACTGAGGCTGCAAGATGACAAGCCCAAGCAACTGCGGGCTCTGCCCTGAGGCACTGGGCGCTGGGCACCCAGGAAAGGCTGGAGAAGACAAGTGCTCCTTCCCCCTGGCGAGGGAGGCCCAGGGACGGCGGTTAGCACAGAGCTGGAGCCGCTTCCGGGAAGGTGGTTTCCATTGAGGAAGATGTGTTCAGAGGCCTGTTAGAGGTTCTCCCATTGACGATTTGGGGGTCCCAGGCTGAATTTAGGGGCCACTCTGGGTGGGCTGCATCTGAAATCCAGTGGCAGTGTCTGCAGTCCCAGCTGTACAGAGCTGGGTGTGGGGTGTTTACGTGAGGAGAGACCTGGGGCACCAGGAGGGAGGGCAGCCGCCAGAGTGCTTGGGGCAGTGACTGCGGACCTCGAGTCCAGTGGCGGCCTCTTCCTCAGGTCTGACTTCTGCAGGGCTTCATGCTCTGAAGAGCTGGACGTTTGGTTCCAACCTCCTGTTTTGGTCTGGGGCTGGGGGGTGGGTATGGCCAGAGAGAGAACAATCTAGACCAGGCTCAACCCTCTCTCTCTCCTTCTGTTCCAGGGCTCAGCTCCCATCCTGGTAGCCATGGTGATCTTGCTAAACATCGGAGTCGCCATTTTGTTTATTAACTTTTTCATCTGATGAAATTGTCACATTAGCAAAAATACCAGTTGGTGTACAAAAGGGGGACGTTAAAAGCAAAACAACAAAAAGGAAAGGATCATAACTCGGACAGCCCACAGCTACTTCCGAGTTTCTTCACAGAACAACACGATTGGGTATTACTCACAGTTTGCCTTTTTTTCTGGGTAATGTTTTTTGGATTTTAGCCAAAATTCTTTGCTTGTATAACACTATGCTGTGTGGCATGGCAGAAGGAGGCCAGCACGCCGATCCTCCAGCTTGAAGTGGAAAGAAAAGGGATCCCAGCAAATCAGCGGCAAAAACAATAAAATCGTCACCATCGTCATCACACTCCCTCCAGGGACGTGGGAAAGGAGGCAGCCTAGGAGGACCCCTGAGTGTCCAGCTGTGGCCGCGGGGGGAGCAGCGGCCGGGAGGTGTGAGGCAGGGAGTCAGCTCACTCTGCTTCTCCTCCCTGTCCTGGAATCGGGGGGTCAGTGTGGGCGAGGCGCGGGGAAGAGGGTGTCCCATCCTGGCTGGCAGCAGCCTGGGCTTTTTCTGTTTTAAATCTGTGCTGCAGAGTTAAGGAAGCAGAGGTCTGTCCTCTCTTCTCTTCCCCAAAAAACAGACCCCTGGTCTTGGCACTGCCCCACGGCTTTCCTTGCAAGGCCAGGTCCCACCCAAGTCTCACAGCGACATCCTCATTTCCCTGCTGTCCCTCTCTCTTCCCCATCCTCCCACCAGACCCAGGGCAGCCAGGCTGCAGATGTCCAGAGCCTGCAGAGGCACGGGGCTGGTGCCAGAGGGCAGGGAGCAGTGCGGCCCCTGGGCTGCAGCACGGCCTTCCAGTACTTACTGTGCAGGACAGGTATCCAGGCTCCCACGTCCCTGTCAGACGTCCGCAGCCCTTTCCCACGTCACTGAGCCCACGAGTTTCATTTTGTCCTGTGCCTGCAACTTCCCCCACAGACATGCCTCTTCTTCCCAGATGCCTCATTAATTCTCTGGAGCTGGTCTAGTCCCAGGACAGAATGTGGTTGAAATCAAGTGGCTTAAAAATTCCTGAGATATCGTTGCATATCCATCTCCCCCCAAATATGTAACACAACTTTCAGTCACACACAAACAGATTCCTGGTGTTTCTGCTTTCTCCACCAGTGTTGCTCTGTCATCCAAACAAAAGAACAAGGCTCCAGAATGTTTGAGTGCTCTATGGTCCTAGCTCGAGCCAGCCCGGCCAGCGGGTATGGACGTGTCTGTGGGGCCACGGGCACGTCCATACCCAGGTCCCCTGTGCTCACACCTGGGAAGGTCCTTAAAGGTGAGCCCCACAGTCGTCCTGGGTACAGCCCGCCTATGACTCTGCCTTGCTTTGCTTATGTTTAGCTGTTTCTCTGCTACCTTTCAAGCAGATTTCTTTACTACACTGCACTGGATTGCTATATTTTTAACCAGAAATAAACTAAAGATTAGAGCATGTTCCAGTTAAATTCAGTTTTATTTTTTTTCTGTTATACATTCAATCCCCATTCCTTCTCACATTTTGGTTTAGGTTGGGGTCTTTTTTGGGGAGTGGAGACATGGGAAAGGGAGGGAGGATCCGTAGGAAATACATTTCTGATAATGTTGCTTTCTAAAGGGATATCACATCTTTTTGTACATCTTTTTTCCGTTCCTCTTTTTTAATATCAAGTGGTTGCTGCAGACCTGAAGTGAACCAAATAAAGATGCCTGCTCCTTGCAGCCCTAAGAATCATCATGCTGGGATATGTGGTTTATAATTCTTTGCAACTCTCTGTCAAGATTACAGACTTTTTTTTGTACATTCCAATAACTGCATGACAAAAATGGTACCTACAAATGCAGGTTTATATATTTACATGCAAACACCATGAGGTTGTTAGATGCATAAAAGCAGCGGCACAGAAGCGCACCTCATTCAACAGAAGCAGTAGTGGTTTCATGACTAGATGTCTCCATCACTAGTCCAGCTGCCAATCACACACTTGTGAAAACCAAATCAACACCTCCCGGCCCCGCCCCCCCCCGCCCCCCCCCTAAACACACACACTCCGCACCTACATAGGGCAGAGCCATTTCCCTGCACTCCTGGTGAATTCCAAGTAGATTCCACCAAGACCAAAACACGGTCGGAGAGACCAGAAAGCTCTTTAATTGTTCCAGTGTGATTAAAGACCAGGCTGCCTCGCAGCATCCCTGCAGATTGGCCGAATGCTTTCGCTCAGCCCAGCTTGCTTTTCCTACCTGCCCAGAGCCTCAGGTTTGTCCGATGGGTGCACCAGTCACCTAACTCCAGGCCAAGTCCGCTGACCTGCTTCTCTCATGCACGTTCCTCGTGGATGTGTGTGTGCTGAATTCAACAAGGACATGTGGGACTGGGGAAAATAGATATGTGTCATGGCTGCCCCCACTGGTGCAGAGCACTGACAAGTTTTAATTACAGAGCAACCTTGTGAGAGTCAGTTCTCCCGACATGCTCTGGATGTGAAAACATGGGGCAGAGAAATTGAGATACCTGAGATACTAGGCTGGGCCGTGGGAGAAGGGGTCGCCACCTCGTGCCCACCTCTCCTCACCCGCCCCAGGCTGGAGCCTGCACTCGCACCTCACCCTAATGAGCTGGAACGGACGTTACCCTGTAAAGTCACCAGGTAACAGGTCTGTGCTGATGGTTCACTGGTTCCACTTACCACAAAGTAAGGAGCCTCGTGTACCGGATTTACTTGTGCTTTTAAGTCTGCTTCGTGTCTGCACAATGCCTGGGTGATTTCAGGCCCCTGAAAAGTCCTATTCGTCCATCCTTTTGAATTCTTAGGTTTGTAATCATTAGCACACAGATTCCCAAAGACAGAGATGAGGTATGCAGTACATAAGCCAAAATAACTGACAAGGAAGACGATGCTAATATAGAAAAAAAATCAGTGCATCCACAAAAATGCAAAGCCCGTTGCCTAAATCATTCGAGGGAGGAGAGTCATGAAAATGCAAGGACTCTCTGACTCACTTTCCTAGGAAGTCCATGACATCTAACGACCAATACACTCCAGTCTTGTTGAGACGCCATGGTGTGTGGTGTGAATAAACACATTCGTGGTAGGATGACAGGCTCTTTCCGACATGCACTAAGCCCAACATAAGAGTGAGTCTCACCAGTGCACGGACTCCCCTCGGGGCCTGTCTGGCACCCGGGCACACAGACGGAGCAGCCCCATGTCCTGGCTAACACCTGACGCCCCAGCCTGGTCATCAAGGTGCTCCCGTTCCCTTTCAGTAAGTTATGCCGCCACCCTCCTGACAAACCAAAGGGCATTACTGAGAACTGGGGAGGTGTTCAGATCTCACAAGACACAGGACTTATTAAAGATGAATACTTGGGGGCGTGAATCAAATGGTCCCATTTTTTGCGATTTTTGTTGGTTTGGGTTTCTGATTATTCTTTAAAGACACCCAATCACCACCAGTATTCTCTGGGCAGGGTTTTCCTGTCAGGCAGTTCTCACCTGTACCCAAGAGGGGGGGCCTAAGAGGCCCAGGGGGTGCTCCCAGAGACGCCCCAGTGGCCTCCTCCAGGGGCACTTGCTTACTTCACCTTCACGTGCACAATAAGACACTTTTCAACACGAGGGTGGAAGATGCAACCCTTTTCTACAGGAAGCTCGGTTTCTTTACCTTTTATAGGTCTTGTCTTCCTTTTTTTTTTCTTGCCTTTGGTCTCAGAAAGTTGCCATAAAGGTGCCTACTAGTTTTTAAGACATCGACTTCCACAGCTGAATGTACTGCCTGACCCTCACAATCAACTGACAGTACTGAGTATCGCTGACAAACACCTGTGTCATGATACTGAGGAAACCTTGCCTCGGACAAGCATTGGCTCCTAGTCAGGTCAGCATAAAAGTGAAGTAACAGGATCAAGAGAAAGAAAGAAGGAATGAGGGGAAGCTGTCTGTAAACCTAAGGTGTCTGGCTAGTTTTGTTCTCTGGCCAGGGCTGGCCACGTCAGGCAAGACCATCAGTAAGCAACGCTAGAAAAACAACCTGCCCCAAGTTTCCAGAAGTGTCCCTAACTCAGCCTTAAAAGAAGAAAAAGTGCAGTTGCTTTTGTTTAAAAATAAAAAACAAAGCTGTATTTTTAGTGTCTCCATGTGCCTGGACAATGTGAACTACAGACTATATGGAATGTCTGAAAACTATGGAAGCACAAGGGTCGCAGTCCCTGAAACACGCAGGGGCGCGGGCTCAGGAAGGCACGGAGGAGGTGCTGGCACGGAGTGAGAAGTGCAGAGGGAAACATGGCGGGGGCGGTGCCAGAACGGGACCACCCCTGAGGGAGATGGAAGCAATGCTTCGGAAGATGGCTCAATGCTTTTGGAGTTTGCTTCCACATGAAATCCCACCATGGAAGTGCCTGAGACAAATGTGCAAACATGCTCCTAAACCTCAGAGAAGCAGGCAGCCGCCATGGGCAGAGCAAGGTGTGGATGTGAGCTTGCCACAGGAAGCCGGGTGCAGTGAGCCGGGGTCCGGGGTTTTGAGGGATGGCGAGCAGGGCCGGGGAGCGCGGCAGACCTCACACACCTACCTCACTGGGCTGCCCCACCACACCTGCTGCCCGAGATACACACAGCTCACTGTCGCCGGCGCCACGGGGTCAGGCCCCAGGCTGCCCAGGCCTGTCGCCACATCCATGCACACCCTCTCCTGCTGCCCTTCCCATCGTGTCTGTGCCACAGGATGCAGGGCGCCAGCTGTGCTGCCACTGCTTGGTGATGTGGTGACAGCGGCAACCCAAACCCATGAAGGCAGAAGGCCCCAAGGAAAGGTGGAGACGGGTCTTGGCTGTACCCCTGGGCCCTCGGTAATTCATCCACACCTGCTAGGTCAGGCAGGAGCCAGGGCTACTTCCTTAGAGGTCAGTATTGACACACCCAATGCAGGCGTGGTAAGTTCTAGTCCCTTAACATTAGAGCACTCATATTGCAAGAGCACTTACACAGCCCACGAATTTCTCTTTCTCTCTAAATGTGATCAGTTCCAACAGGGCAGACATACTATGCACCCACCGACCTCCCATGAATGACGCCTACACCACACTGTGTGAGCCTGGGAAGGCCGGTCAGGAGGAATGCTGCCCCACGTGGGCCTCCCAAACATCGGCACAGGCCAGGTAGACGGTGGGAGGCTCAGGAGGAAGGAATCCGCGCTGAGGGCCAGCACTGCGCATGCGCCCTCCAGGCTACTCTGGCACCCATGGCCCTGGGACCGGGCTCTCCCACTGGGCCTCTGAGTGAGCCTGTCCTTTAGCGTGGTCACCGACACCATCAGAGCAACAGGGCCTGCACTCTCACTGTCTGAGTGGCCCTCACGCACACGCAGTGGCTTATACAGGAGTGAGCGTGCCCCTGACCACTGATCTGCCAATGCCTCCAAACACTGGGCTAACCCTGACAACACTTCCTGCTGGACCCTGCTTATCTGCACCATCACCATTTCTAGCCTGACTAAAACCCACACGCCCGCACCGTTCAGGTGAGAGTGCGTGAAGCTCATCCTCACGCTAGACATGAAACGACTAACCCTGATGTGGTTGCCTTTTTGTGAATGAACTCTAACATAAATCCGTCTCAATCTGCGTTTTCTTTTTTCCACCCTTTTCCCGTGGTGCATGTGAACTGTTTGCTAATACTGTGCAATCATTTTGTGCATTGACAAAAGGGAATGTTGACTATGTTCTGATTTTTCCTATTAATGAAGCAGCTAAAAACATTACC